CGCTTCGCATAGCAGTCTGTCAAAATGATTTTTTAAGAAATACTCAAAGTTTCACAGAGATCTTCGTACTAGAAGTATTCTAATATGTGAAGAACACTACCCTGGGGGTACAAAATGACCCCAGGGCGTACGGATAGGGTTCATTAAACCATTTTGAAAAATAAAAACGATCCTTCCTCCTCCTTCTCCCAGATTCTGTTTGCTGTGCCAGAAGAGCGATGTTTGAACAATCACTGGCAGAAACTTATAAGATATCGCTGTCCAAAAAAAACCTCAACCCACCTCACATCAAAACCAAATATCGTATCAACCAGTTCCCTGTATCTTTTTTGCTTGTTAATGAACTTGCCAGAAATAGATGTTCCAAAAGAAGTCAGGGAAAAAAACTGAACAATTCATCACGTCCTCAAAGAATTGTCCTAATCAATTTGTCACACTGCGTTTTGTCTCTGTTTCGGTGACTTTCTTTGATTGTGAAGGAAAAAACCATTGAGAGAGCGGGAGAGTGGGAGAGTGGGAGAGTGGGAGAGTGAGAGAGCGGGAGAGTGGGAGAGTGGGAGAGTGCCAATGTCTTCCGGGGATTCCCACCACAAGCAGGCAGGTTTTCCTAGCCGTGGGGGCTTCTGTTTGGCGGGCGTCTCGGTGTGTGTCTCCCGGGTCTTCGCGCGTGCAAACAAACTCACTCAGTGGGTGGTTGGTGGGTACTCTGGTGCGGTTTGTTCCTTCTTTCCTATCACATATCTATCGTCCTGATCCATCTCCTTCTTTTTTTATGTTTGTTACACCCTACCACAATATGCCGAAGGCCCAGGAAGTTGTCTCACAAACAAGGCAATACCCAATGTCCGGATCGGATGCGGGAACATATTTGTTACTCTCTTGTAACACCTCTAATCTTCGGCATTTATATGACCTTATTGTGTTGCAAGTGCTGTAAAACACTAACTAAAACTTTAAAAAACTTACTTACCAAATACATCTGGGTTTGTTTGAAAATATTGAAATGCTATGGGTTTCAAGCCTCTATCAACACTATTAGGTTACATTATAAGAGGCGGAACCTCCTAGTTGAACGTCCGTCTCCGAAAGGACTGAGCGAACGGGGAGTTTCGTGTCAAGTGTCTTTCCCAAGGACACAACGTCGGACCGAGCTGAGGCTCGAACCCCCGAACCCTCAACCTCACGATTACAAGTCGGTAGCCTAACCACAAGGTCACCGACGCCACTTTGTTTGTTTGTATGTTTGTTTATTTGTTAGTTTGATTGTTTGTTTGTATGTTTGTTTATTTGTTAGTTTGATTGTTTGCTTGGGTGGGGGGAAGCATGTCGACAAAATAACGGCCATTTGCTGCTGGG